TCAACGTGCAAAAATCACAAGCATTCCTATACACCAGTAATAGACTTCAAGAGAGCCAAATCAAGAACGAACTGCCATTCACAATTGCTACAAAGAGAATAAAATACCTAGGAATACAACTAACAAGGAACGTAAAGGACCTCTTCAAGGAGAACTACAAGCCATTGCTCAACGAGATAAGAGAGGATATAAACAGATGGAGAAACATTCCATGTTCATGGTTAGGAAGAATCAACATCGTGAAAATGGCCATACTGCCCAAAGTAATTTACAGATTCAACGCTATTCCCATCAAGCTATCAATGACCTTCTTCACAGAACTGGAAAAAAACACATTAAACTTCATATGGAACCAAAAGAGAGCCCGCATAGCCAAGTCAATTCTAAGCAAAAAGAACAAAGCAGGAGGCATCACACTACTGGACTTCAAACTATACTACAAGGCTACAGTAATCAAAGCAGCATGGTACTGGTACCAAAACAGAGATATAGACCAATGGAACAGAACAGAGGCCTCAGAGGAAATACAACATACCCACAATCATCTGATCTTCGACAAACCTGACAAAAACAAGCAATGGGGAAAGGACTCCCTGTTTAATAAATGGTGTTGGGAAAACTGGCTAACCATGTGCAGAAAGCAGAAACAGGACTCCTTCCTGACACCTTACACCAAAATTAACTCCAGATGGATTAAAGACTTAAACATCAGACCTAATACCATAAAAACCTTAGAAGAAAATCTAGGAAAAACCATTCAGGACATAGGTGTAGGCAAGGACTTCATGACCAAAACGCCAAAAGCAATGGCAACAAAAGCCAAAATAGACAAATGGGACCTAATCAAACTCCACAGCTTCTGCACGGCAAAAGAAACAGTCAGTAGAGTGAATTGGCAACCAACAGAATGGGAAAAAATTTTTGCAGCCTACCCATCTGACAAGGGGCTGATATCCAGAATTTACAAAGAACTAAAGCAGATCTACAAGAAAAAAAACAAACAAGCCTATACAAAAATGGGCGAAGGATATGAACAGATACTTTACAAAGGAAGACATACAGGAGGCCAACAAACATATGAAAAAATGCTCATCATCACTGGTCATCAGAGAAATGCAAATCAAAACCACATTGAGATACCATCTCACACCAATTAGAATGGCGATCATTAAAAAATCGGGAAACAACAGATGCTGGAGAGGATGTGGAGAAATAGGAACACTTTTACACTGTTGGTGGGAATGTAAATTAATTCAACCACTGTGGAAGACAGTGTGGCGATTCCTCAAGGACCTAAAAATAGAAATCCCATTTGACCCAGCAATCCCATTACTGGGTATATATCCAAAGGATTATAAATCATTCTACTACAAGGACACGTGCACACGAATGTTCATTGCAGCACTGTTTACAATAGCAAAGACCTGGAACCAACCCAAATGCCCAACGATGATAGACTGGATAGGGAAAATGTGGTACATATACACCATGGAATATTACGCAGCCATCAAAAATGATGAGTTCACGTCCTTTGTAGGGACATGGATGAACCTGGAAACCACCATTCTCAGCAAACTGACACAAGAGCAGAAAATCAAACACCCTATATTCTCACTCATAGGCGGGTGTTGAACAATGAGAACACATGGACACACGGAGGGGAGCGCTACACACTGGGGTCCGTTGGAGGGAAATGGGGGAGGGGCGGGGGTTGGGGAGGTGGGAAGAGATAGCATGGGGAGAAATGACAGATACAGGTGAGGGGACAGAAGGCAGCAAACCACACTGCCATGTGTGTACCTATGCAACAATCTTGCATGTTCATCACATGTACCCCAAAACCTAAAATGCAATAAAAAAAAAAATTACTAAAATTTTCTCTACTGACACTGGCCTAAAATTTATAATCTCTACCAATCTGTATTTAATATATAGTCCTAAATTATTTATGGTGGAATACTTTTTAATTTTCATGCTCTGATAAAGGAAGAAATTACTTAGCTCAATGTCAAAGACCCATCACTCCATCTCAATTCAGTACTGGTCTTGACTTATCCAAATTAATAAAGATTATAGTTTTATCTTCACATAAAATCCAATTACTGTTGGCCAGGCGCAGTGGCTCACGCTTGCAATCCCATCACTTTGGGAGGCCGAGGCGGGCGGATCACGAGGTCAGGAGATCAGACCATCCTGGCCAACATGGTAAAATCCCATCTCTACTAAAATACAAAATATTAGCTGGGTGTGGTGGCACATGCCTGTAGTCCAAGCTACTGGGGAGGCTGATGCAGGGGAATAGCTTGAACCCACGAAGCGGAGGTTGCAGTGAGCCGATTTCGCATCACTGCACTCCAGCCTAGCGACAGAGCAAGACTCCGTCTAAAAAAAAAAAACTGCAATTACTGTTAATCTCAGTTTTACATAGAAACGGGAGACAAGAATAACCTTTTAACTCTGAGGCACCTTTAAAGTAGCTCTAATTCCAAGATCTCTCATTTCATTTAGATCCATAGATGATCTTGATCCAAAGATGACTCTTTCAAACATCTCAGTCGCTAGAAGATTTTCTTTTAACTCTTAAACTTTGTTTCTTATACTGTTTTTTGGTTTTTGTTTTTTGCTACGTATTATGCAATGAAGGCTAACTGAGCCTGATGCATTATCACAAGCTATGTTCCAACTTTCGGTTTTCTTAGCACCTCTATCTTTACATTAACAAATTTACATATTGTATATCCTACTTATTTAAAAGAAAAACTCCTTAAATTATAGGCAGTAACTTGCAAAATTAACTTCAGGTTAATACACTTATTAATATAATAATTAAGCAACCAAGTCCTATGTTTGGATATTTTCATTTTGAAAACCCTAAAATATACCTATGTTCAGTCCCTGTCCCTACCATTCAAGCAAAATAAATCAGAGCCTAAAAGAAAGATCACAGTCTGGGCATCAGCTTGTCTTTTCATCTTTTTTTTCACCAGAGGTGGGGTCTCTCCAGCCCAGGCTGGAGTGGGTGGCATGATCAAGGCTCACTGCAGCCTTGATCTCCTGGGTTCCAGCAGTCTTCCTGCCTCAGGCTCCTAAGTAGCTAGAATTATAGATGCATGCGACCACGTCCTGTTAATTTTTTTATTTTTTGTGTAGACAAGGTCTTGCTAGGTTGCCTCGAACTTTTGGCCTCAATCAGTCCTCCCCGCTCTGCTTCCAAAAGCGTTGAGATTACAAGTGTGAGCCACTACAGCCTTAAAAGCACCTCAGGTGATTCTACTGGCATGGTCAAGGTTAAAACCCACCAATTTAAGCTGAATTTTCATTTTTTGTTGCTTGCAACTGTAAGATCATTTTATTATAAACTACACATATGCAAAACCATGCATACTATACCTTAGGGGTAAAAGACATTCCAAAGTAATTGTGATAATTTTTCCTCTCTCATTGGCTTTAGAATTTCATTAAAGAGGCAATACCACTCCATGAACAAATTCTCCAAAAATCTAGCCCCAATCTACCTTAACCAACAACTATATGTGCACTATATATTTTTCTTTTTAATTCCTCTAATCACTATACACAGTTATTCCATATTTTTATAATTAGTCATTCTATTGTAGATAATTTAGTTTGCTTCAACTCTAATACTGTCACGGCCTTTCACACACTACATTCCTGAAACACTGAACTAGTTTGAATTCCCTCATGCTTTTGTGCCTTTGCATATGCTATTCTCTCTTGCACATGGTCCTTTCCTATAACTTCCAAAACTATTCATCCTTCAAATAGTACCTTAAACGGTAACTTCTATGAAGCTTACCCCTAGCCTCCTGGGCAGATTAAACGGTTCTTTTAGGCTCCCACTGCATTTGGTAAAAATTCTCATTGAAACTATATTATCGTTTCCTAGTCATAAATTACTTTGCTTTGTTTCCACTAAATTATAAATTATAATCATCTTTGAGTCTTTATTCCTGCATAGTGCCTGGCACATAATAGTTATTAAAAACTATAAACTATATTTTTAAGTAAACAAACATGTAGAACAGATTTTATAATTATAGGTCACACTTAATATTGAACTGAGAGGCAATGCAAAGACACTGTAGTTGGTGTTAGCCATTCTTAATTTGTAGGCTAACTTGTATTAGTACAAATTATGCTGGCAACATTTTGTAACAGAAATAATAGCAACCTCCAATTTCCACATTTGAATCTAGGTCAGGGCTAACCATTATCTCCTTGCTCTGTTTTTCAAAACAGTATTGAGTAGTGCTGAAATTACAGATCATTCAACTCCTAATATTGACATATTTTTCAACTTTAACCACTTAGCATTCTGCAACAACAACAAAAAAAGAGACAGAGAAAGTATACCAAGTCAAATTTAGTGTTTAATCTCAGAAAAGTACCAAAATAACTGTATATAGCTGGCTGACCATTTTTGGAGAAAATGAAACCATAGGATAGGATTTGCTTCAATGAACTAGCATAAGCTATAAGATTGTCAGGCTCACTAACCATTATGAGGTTTTTCTGTTTTTGTTTTTGTTTTTTGAGACAGAGTCTCACTCTGTTGTCAGGCACCAGGCTGGAGTGCAGTGGCACAAGCTCGGCTCACTGCAACCTCCGCCTCCCGTTTTAAGCAATGCTCCTGCCTCAGCCTCCCAGGTAGTTGGGACTACAGGTGCGTGCCACCATACCCAGCTGATTTTTACATTTTTAGTAGAGACAGGGTTTCATTATGTTGGCCAGTATGGTCTCAATCTCTTGACCTTGTGATCCGCCCACCTCAGCCTCCCAAAGTGCTGGGATTACAGACGTGAGCAACTGCACCCGGCCTCATGAGATTAGTTTATGTATCATACTTAGTTGAGGCATGAACATCCATTAAAGAATACTTTCTCTATATCTTTATAAAACCCAATTATATTTCAACTATGTAACCAGAGATACATACTAATTTTAGGCCAAATCATAAACATCAGGTAATATCACAATACCTCTTCCAATGTCTTTGCCTTCCAAATCCTTTAATGTAAATGACCTTCCTCTTACAATAAGAACAGCATCACCTTCCCACTTTTTATGTTTTTTCTTTGAAGGCTTACACCAAACAACATTGAAATATTTAACTAGGCTATCAGATTTTTCCTCTTGGTCCTTGGACACTGGTTTTTCTTTAGGAGCTGAATGAACTACAATAAAAAAATAAAATAAAAAACCACATTATTAAAAATGACTTTAATGTCTAAGTAGTAAGGTCATTCAAACAAAAAAGGCACAAGAAAATCAGATTATATTAAGAAATAGTATGAAAGAATATTTGATCATACCCATATTAGCACTGTCTAAACAAAAAAATCCAAATATTAGGTGTTAATATTACCACATGAGTACAACGACTGTTAATATCTTACTGTTCCAAAGTCAAATAAACTCCATTGAAACAGAATAACATAATAATCACTGTAAACATTTTAAAACTCTAAAAATTAAGACATTCTTTCAGTGTCCATAGCACAGAAAAATATCTAAAATCACATTTTGACAAAATTGATTTAATTAAGTGACATGACAAGCTGAGGAAAAGCAAAGATTGCAGAGTTGAAAGTAAAACCTGAAAATTTTTGTTCACTTATTTTAATTGATAAATAAAAATTATATATACGTAGGTGTACAACATTCTATTTTGATGTATGTATACACTGTGGGATGGCTAAATCAAACTAATTAACATTATCCATTACCTCACATAATTTTTGTGGTAAGAACATTTTTTTAAGTGCTACTTTCTTAGCATTTTTCATGTATACATTGACTATAGTCACCGTATTGTACAATGGATTTCTTCAACTTATTCCTCTGTAACTGAAATTTTGGATCCTTTGACCAATATCTCCTCAGTGCCCCACCCCTATCCAACTGTAGGTAACCATCATTCTACTTTAAAAGAGTTTGACTTTTTTTAATTCCACATATAAGTGAGATCACACAGTAATTGTCTTTCTGTGTCTGGCTTATTTCACTTAGCATAATGTCCTCCAGGTTACCATGTTGTCACAAGTGACAGGATTGCCTTCTTTTTTAAGGCTGAGTAGTGTTCCGCTGTGTATCTATACTAAGACGTTTTTAATCCATTCATCCATTGATGGACACTTAGGTTGACTTCGTATTTTGGTTACTGTAAAAAATACTGCAAGGAACATGGGAATGCAGATATCTCTTGAACATACCAATTTCATTTTCTTTGGCTATATACCCAGAAGTGAAAGTGCAGGTATAAAACACCAAAGCAGAAATGAGAATACATATTTATAAAATTATTTTGTCTCCTGCTTCTAACTAACTTGTACACTAGATTTTCAATGGCTGGATAAAAGGTGGTTTAGCTGACGACAGAAAAATCTCATTTTCCCCATCACTGAAGAACCCTTCACTATGTCTTTTATGTCATACACACTTGAACCATGGAAACTAGAATTTAAACAAAATGAAGTCATTTTTTTTCCTATTAAAATGTGCTATTTACTTAAATAGGAAAAAAGAAAGGAAATATCCTGATGTCAGGAATAAAACAAGAATGCCCACATCAATTCAACATCATCCTGGAAGTCTCATCTATTACAATAAGGCAATAAAAGTGTACAAAGTATAAAGCTCAGAAAGAAGTAAATAAAACAGTAGCATTAACAGATGACGTAACTATTTACGTAGAAATCCCCAGAGAATCTAAAAATAAAGAAAAATAATACATTTAGCAGAGTCACAAGATGCAAGGTTCATATCCAAAATCAACTGAATTCTTACAGACTAGCAAGAAATAATCAAAAATAAATTTTTAAATCCCATTCATAGTAGGTCAACAAAACAGACACATGAAATACTTGGGAAAATATCTAATAAAAGATAACCAAGATCTCTATACTAAAATTAAAAAGCTTTGTTAAAAAAAAATTAACAAAGCTCTTATAAATAAGCACAACTCCTAGTTCATGAATTGGAACATTCAATTTTGTTAACATAGCAATTTTTCCCAAAATGATCGATATATTCAACACAATACCAATCAAAATCCCAGGACGCTTTTAGTAAAATTACAAGTTGGTTTAAAAATTCATATGAAAATGACAATAACATAGAGTAACCAAAGCAGTTAAAAAAAAAAAAAAAGTTGGACATTTACAGTAATGCTGCAATAATCAAAATAGTTTGGTACTGCCCCTTCCTCCATAAAAGACATGTAGACATTCCAATTACTTGGAAGAGTAGCAAGAAATAGACCCACTCACACATGTATGTCAAAATGATTTTCAACAAAGGTGGGGAACCAAATTCAATAAGGAAAAGAGAGTCTTCTCAACAACATTGCTAAACCAACTGGATATCAATTTGGAAAAGATAAACATCAACCATTAAGTTACCCAATATACCAAATTCTTTTTTTTTTTTTTTGTCTTTTTAAATTTTTTTCTTTTGTCTTTTTTTTTTTTGTACAAAATTCAATTCAAAATGGATGACAGACCTAAATGTAAAACCTAAAACAAAAAAATTCTAACAGAAAACACAGGATAAAATATTTGTAAACTCAAGATATGCAAAGCTTTCTTAGAACACGAAAGCACAAAACACAAAAATCAAAAATTATAAATCAAATTTTACCAGAATTTAAAACTTTTGCTTTTTGAAAGATGCCATTAATAAAACAAAAGGGAAGCCGACTGCAGTGGCTCACACCTGTAATCCCAGCACTTTGGGAGGCTGAGGCGGGCAGATCATGAGGTCAACAGATAGAGACCATCCTGGCCAACACGGGTGAAACCCTGTCTCTACCAAAAATACAAACATTAGCTGGGAGCGGTGGTGCAGGCCTGTAGTCCCAGCTACTTGGGAGGCTGAGGCAGGAGAGTCGCTTGAATCCAGGAGGCAGAGGTTGCAGTGAGCCGAGATCGCACCACTGCACTCCAGTCTGGCATCAGAGTGAGACTATACCTCAAAACAGAACAAAACAAAACTACAAAAGAAAATAAAAGGGAAGCCACTGGCTGGGGTAAAATATTCACAGCATATGTATACAACAAAGATCTTGTATCCGGAATAATTATTCTTTTTTTTTTCAGACAGAGTTTTGCTCTGTTGTCCAGACGCAAGTGCAGTGGTGCAATCTCAGCTCACTGAAACCTCTGCCTCCTGGGTTCAAGCGATTCACCCACCTCAACCTCCTGAGTAGCTGGAATTACAGGCGACGGACACCAGGCTCAGCTAATTTTTATATTTTTACAGAGATGAGGTTTCACCATGTTGGCCAGGCCGGACTCAAAATCCTGATCTCAAATGATCCATGCACCTTGGCCTCTGAAAGTGCTGAGATTACAGGCATGAGCCACCATGCCTGGCCTAATAATTCTTATAGTTTAAAAATAAGACAACAAACAAATCAATAGAAAATGGGCAAAAGTCTTAAACAGACAATTCAGAAAATGAAATATACAAACAGCCAATAAGCACATAAGAAGATATTTAGCATCAATAAGCATCCAGAAAATACATATTAAAAACCTGAAATATCACTTCACAACCATTATGATGGCTGGAATCATAAAGTCAGACAATAAACAAGTCTAATGAGGATATGGAGAAATCAAAGCCGTCATACCCTGCTGGTAGGAGTGTAAAATGGTGCAGTAGTTTGGTAACCAGCATGACAATTGCTCAAACAGTTAAACAAGAATTACCAAATGACACAGCAATTATACTCCTAAGTATATGCCCAAAAGAATAACAACGTATGTCACCAAAAAAAAACCTTGCCCATGAGCGTCCACAGGATTATTAATAATAGCCTAGAGGTAGGAACAACCCAAATGTGCATTCAACTGACAAATGAATAAACAAAATGTGGCATATGCATACAATGGAATATAATTCCATCATAGAAAAAGAATAAAGTGGCCAGACTCACTGGCTCATGCCTGCATTCCCAGCACTTTGGGAGGCCGAGGTGGGCAGATCATGAGGTCAAGAAACCGAGAACATCCTGGCTAACACAATGAAACCCCGTCTCTACTAAAAATACAAAAAATTAGCCAGCGTGGTAGCATATACCTGTACTCCCAGCTACCTGGGAGGCTGAGGCAGGAGAATACCTTGAACCCAAAAGGCGAAGGTTGCAGTCAGCCAAGATTGTGCCACTGCACTCTAGCCTGGGTAACAAAGAGAGACTCCATCTCAAAAAATCAAAAAACAAAAACAAAAAAAAAGGAAGAAAATGAATAAAGTACTGATATATGCAAAAACATGGATGAACCCTGAAAACATTTATGCTCAGTGAAAGAAGCCAGTCACAAAGACCATATATTTTAGGATTCCATTCATATAAAATGTCTAGAACAGGGAAATCTTACAGACACAGAAAATAGATTCGTGGCTGCTTAGGCTGGAGAGTAAGGATGGGGTGATCGGGTTAGGAAGCAGGGGGATGGTAGCTAAAAGTACAAAGTTTCTCAGGTATTGAAAATATTCTACAACTGGCTGTTCTGATGGTTGCACATTAACTGAATATATTAAAAAATAATGAATTGGACACTTTATATGACTGAATTATATGGTATGTTAACTGTATCTCCATAAAGCTGTTTAAAACACACACAGTGAAATAACATCACACACTGATTAGATTAACTTAAAAATTTTTTTTTAGGAAATGACCACTGTAAGTGCTGGTAAAGAGAGAGAGCAAGTGAAAATATCATACCCTGCTGGAAGGAATGTCAAACAGTACAACCAGTTTGGAAAACGTTTTGGCAGAAGAAAGAAAGAAAAGGAAGACATATGTCTGCAAAACAACAACAACAACAACAACAAAACTTGTATATCTCCAAGCCAGGTAAAGCAATCTCCCAAAAGCCTGAAAATCCATCATCACTACCAGAACTCAGATAAATGATATCTTCATTACTGGCATTCATGGATTTAGAAAGTCAGTCTTGGTTATCTTCAACTAGTAGGTTATACCCAGAACCACCAAGGTGTTTTTCTGAGAAAACAAGTGATTCATACCCAGCTTGAGTCAGCTCTGTCTGGCATGACCCAATGAACTTTAATCAGTCCCTGAAAAACTTCAGACTGCTGAAATTTTAGAACCCTGAGCAGGAACCAAGAAGACACAGGACTTAAGTGCAGCTCCTCCCATTTCCCA